AGCTATTGTTAAAATTTTTATAAGAATTAGAAATATATTAAATGACTATTTATATTCTAAATAAAATATAAGAATTGAATTGTTGATTTTTATTAATATATTTTATATTTTATTTTTATATTTACAATTAAAAAAATTTTGTTTAATATTATTTAACATATTGATATTAAGATAAAATAAGCTATTATTGAATTATGATTATTAATTTTAATAATAGATATAAGATTTATTGAAACTTTAAATTTTAATTAAGCTTAAATCTTTTTATAAATATTAATTAAATAATACTAATTGTTTTTTTGCTAAATTCAAAAGATTATTGCATTTTATATTGATATTAAAATTTTTTTTATCTCTCTATGGTATTTATATTGTTGTGGTAAAATCACGACAAGTTAGTCGCTTCGATCTGTCTCACGTCGTGTAATGATCAGGCAGTTTCTGCTCAAAAGAGGCGTGTGAATTTGGCCAGAGTTCGTAACGCTAACACAGATCAGTCTATTGATCTTGCGTCCTTAATGGTTACTTTACGCGCAGCAATTCCATTAGCTACGTGATGCTGGAGTCAATCACAAGACAATAGTTTATCAAATAAAGATGGTTTTTATTTAACAGTTGCATAGTACCTATTCTGATTCTTTTTACTTTTTGACTATTCTCAGGTCACTTATATACATTTTTACTTTATACCTATTATACCTATTATATCTGATATACCACTTATACCGTTTATACCATTTATACCTGATATACTTACTCTTATAATTTCCTATCATCTATCCATTATTTTTCCCTACAACAATATTTAATAAGACTTTTATTTGCATTAATAAGATAATAAGTTCTTTTAATAAATAAATAATTAATATTATAATTATGTTTAACTTAATATAAATAACTTAATTATTAAATATAATAATCTAAAATCCTACATTGGTATTTAATATACTGTATATATAAAGAATTTTTGAAAATATGCTGAAATTTTAATTTGAAAAAAATTAAGGTAAAATGAAGTTTTTAAGAATAGAGTTCAAATATATGTTAAATTTATATTTGATAAATTTATAATTTGAATAGTATACTAGTAAATTATTGAAAAACTTGATATTTTTTTATATAAGTCAAATATTTGTTAAATTAAAGTTTTGTTTTTTAAAAAAAAGAAAGATCTAAAAATTGATTACTATTCAAATTATTGAATTTGCAATTTGATAAATATACTGAAATTTTATATTTTTGTATACAAATATAACTTTTGTAATTTAGTTTTCTTAAAATTTTTTTGAAAAATATATTGGATATAATCACATTGTATAGCTAGTTTATATTGATTTAATTTTAATACTAATAGTAACTTTAATTTTTGAATTATATAGTTTTATAATGAAAAGTTTTGATGTAATAAGTTCTTATTTATTAAGTTAAAGAACTTAAAACCTGCTTGAAAATATATAACTTTATATAAGATAATTCTTTTTATTTTAAGTTTTTTTTTGACAATATTATTTATTTTATTTATAGGTTTAATAGTTCATATTTAGTCAATAATATTAAATATTTAATATAATTAAGTTTACTTAATATGATTTAATCCATTACTTGTTTGATTATTGATTTATTTCAAATTTGTTTATTATATACTGTAATAATTTAATTTAGGTTTTTGATTAGAATATACTTGAATAGAATTAAATATATACTTATTTATATTATTGATCTCATAACTTTTGATACAGTATAAAATATATTGTATATTAATCAAATATTTATTTAACACCTTTTAAAAATAATAAAAATAAAAAACTATATTCTGGAAAAAAAATTTTATATTTGTCCAAAGATTTTGCAATTGATATTATGTCAACTGCATTAGGATTGATAATATATGCCTGGATATATGAAGTCTAATTTGATAAATTAATTCTTTTATTTTTTAATTGGTTCAAGTTCTTGCAATAATTCTTATTAAAGTTATTATTATTAATTTTAACCTCAATTAGATCTCTATTTTTACAGTCATTTTTATCAAAGTCATCATTATTAATTTTAACCTTAATCATTTTCCAATAGTTTTTTGTTATATTCAAACATTTTTTTCAACACAAAATAATAACTTCTGACTTGATTTCATCTTGAAAAAAATAAAGTAATGTATTTCAAAGAGTAAAAATGTCTAGTAATTGTTGCTCATTTGCAATTTTATTTTTTACAACTTTCCATATCATTTTAATTGATTATAGTTCACAATAATATAGAGTCGTATAAAGCAACCAGTAATTAAACTTACTTGCAATATTAATAATAGCAAAAGAAACAGATTGTTTTTTTTATAACTAATTTACCTAATTTTGTTTTAGTTATATATATATCGAATTTTATATTATAAGTTTTTAATTATTCCATTATTGCAGCTTTATTTTAATTCATGATTAATATGGCTTCAAAATGATATTTATAATATTTTGCTCTATCTATATAAATGACATATGATTTGTAAATATCAAAAAGTCTTTTACAAAGCTTCTCAAATATATTTTCAAAAACTTCTGCATTAAAATTTTCATGATAATTTACTATACCAAGACAAATACCTACTATCTTTATAACATATGGAACTGTTTCCTATGCTTCTAAATATTTTCTTTTTCTTTCTTTTTCAATTTCTGGTTTCATGTTAGGATTCCAAATAAAAAGGGATTAAGGAACTAGTTTACTTTTTATCTGGTTGTTATTTTCATTCCAGAAAATAACAATAGCTTCAAAAATAACAAGCATATAATTTCTACTCTTTTTATAAACTATTCCATTTGTTGAAAGCCAGATTAGATGTCAGTTATAATGCATATAGCAATAGGATTTGTCAAAAAAAACCACTGAAAGAGTTAGTATATTATTTTTATCTTATATGTTTTTAAATAAACAATGAAAATAATATGCTTGATATGTAATATTCTAAAAATACTTATAGAGAATGTTGTGCTGTTCACTCTTGCCATAATAATAGTTTAGCCTTTTTAAATGACACACAAGTTATACCTTTGAAACTGAAAAGTCTAACTTAGATAAATTCAAATAGAGAGTTCTCAGAAAAAGAGAAAAACCAGTTTTGTTTGTTAATAAAATAAGATCATGAAAATAATCATAAGTTGAAAATAGGTCAAAGTATAGAAGGTTGCACAAAAAAGGCTTCTGATCTAACTTCAATAAAAGTTTATAAAATCACAATCCAAACTGGTGACAGCAGACTCTGTTACACAATCTAAAAAGATTAATTTTAAGCTGATCTATTTCAATCTGGAGCTTAAAGATCTATCCTATAAGTGATATTCTTCCAAACTTAAATAAACTGAAAGTGCAAAAGGTTATTGGTCACAGAAAATGTCAATCTAGGCAAAAATTGTTAAGACCAAGTGTATCTAGTAAGAATTGTCAAGATTAAATCAGAATCTAAGCAAAGATGTCAGTTTTACATATGATAAAAATAGTAGTACTGTATTATACTAATGGCACATTTCCAGAATCAATGATACAGGTGATTGAAATGACTGGGGGTTAATTTTTATAATAATATTCTATATTATATTGCTCTCTACAATATGAACTTAATAGGTTAGGTGGGTTTTAAACTAGTGATATGATTCTCCTCCTGTAAAAAGTCCCATCTGATGTGTGAACACTTTTTGAGTATTTAAATGAATCCATAGTTGAATTATAAGTAGTTGGTATAGCTAGTCTTATAGTAATATATATATTAAATAGTGTTAATTTGCAAATTAGCTATAGAAACTTAATGGGTATCCATATATTAATCGATTTCCAGTTAATTTGTAGAGACACTTGATGTCTGTCTAGATACAGTATATAAATGTATCAATAAAGATTACATGCCTTGCATACATTTTACTTTAAAAAAAATAAAAAAAATAAAAACTATATATATATTTTTTTATTTCAATTATTTCAATTATTTTAATTATTTTCTTCATTTCAATTATTTTTTTTATTTAACTTATTTTTTTATTACAATATCTAATATAAAATTATATAAAAAATTACTTCTTTTTTTTTTATAACAATATATTAAATTTATATTAAATTATTTTTATTATTTAATTTTTATAATTTTTTTAAAGCAATTTTTTATAAAATCAAAAAAAAATTTTAAGTAAACTTTATTATATTTATAAAAATATATATTATATATAATCTATAACGATTAATTAATAGCTTTTTTATTTATAAAAATAATAAAATAATTTTTTTTCAAAAGCAATGTTTTACACTATGTATTAATTAAACATTTAATTATTATTTTTGATTTTTTTAAAATAATACGTAATAATAATAATAATTTTATATAAGTTTTAATAGTTCATAAATGATACCATAAACGATAGTTAATATATGCTGGACAATCAATTATTAGATGCACGTACTAAGAACAAACAAATATTGACTTATCTTTGAATTATCCATTTTTATTTGCTGGAGATCACAGTTATTGAAAACTGCAACGAACTGAGTCCGAAAAAGTCTGGTGGGAAAAGTCTTTTAATGGGTTGATTGAGAGTATGATGAAAATGATAATGACATAATAATATCATTGTAATGCATGCCCCGCGCCAATGGTAGTGTGGCGCAGTAACCACAGTTAAAACAAATCAAGTATATCAATGGAATATTTGTGAGCTATAAATAATTCCTAATAAAGGTATTAAAGAGACTACGAACCCCAGAACCCAACAAATTCAGTTAAAGTCTTTCGCCATAGGTTCGTTTTAGAAGAAGAAATCGTCTTAAGGCAATGCATGAACGACCATGTATGGGACGTGAAGCTGGACACGTCAAATTTTCACGCGTCCGTACGAATTTTTGATCCCAATTGGCAATACATTTAATTCATTACGGGGAATAGTTGGACCGTTTTCATATCATATATCAGGGTCAGATTTTGGATGTGGTTCTCTCACTTTCGTTTTTCGCTTTATCGACAGAAAATGAGCACTCTTCGAGCCATCAAAACTGACAAATCCCCTGCCGCAGTAGGCCCATACTGTAGGTTTGAAATATTCGCATCAAAAGTACAGTTGATTGCTTATCATGAGTATAATTACTTATGAAAATATTCTATTTTGTGACAAAAATAGCTCAAGCTATAGTCGCAAACGGCTTTGTCTTTACATCAGGTCAACTTCCTATCAATCCTGAAACAAAGGATTTCGTTGGCGCCGATGTTAAAGAACAAGTGGTAGGCAATAAAATACGTGCAGACCAATTTATTCAAATTACAACGTAATTCATTATACTATTGGCTAAATACTCCGTCATAAAATTCTTTTTACATAAAGCGTCAAACACTTCTTAATGTGTCAAATGTATTGCAAGCTGCAAATTCCTCACTTTCACGAGCAGTTAAGATTAACGTCTATATAAAGGATATGAATGATTTTGCAGCTGTCAATGATGCTTATGCTGAAGTAAGGTTCTTTAATATTCATCGAAAAAATAATGAAAATTGTTTAAAAAGTGAAGGAATTTCTGCGATGTGCTTCTTAGCAATGATTTTTTTAATCTAATTATCAGATTCTTGGTGACGCCCGACCTGCTCGAGCATGTATTGAGGCGGCTAGGTTGCCTAAAGATTTTAAGGTTGAAATTGATGCAATCGCTATTGTGAACGAATGATTTCAATGATTGTCTATCGAATACTCTTATGCCGTATTAGAAGAACGTTTATTTTTCTGAAGGACGTATTGTATATTACTGAGAAATCTAATAAATCACCATCATGTTACATTTTTTATAAATCTTACAATCAAGTTATTTTTTTTTTTAATGTTAAGGTGAGACTTGTCTCATTATCTTTATTAATATGTAATTATTATTATTACATGGTTAATTTTAAGATATGAGATATATGAACAAAATTGTACATATTAGTCTATCACCTATTGTAGTAGATATATTTCTAATAAAAAAACTCTTGAGCAGGAAAAAAGTAAGAAAGGAACTATCTACATATGAGAATAGAATAAATTATGTATAAAAATTTGAGGGATAAGATCGCTATAATGTGAGTAAAAGAATGTAAGGATATTAGAAGTTGAAGGTTGAAAGTTTTTAACATGAAGTTGCTATATACGTTAAGCTTGAAGTCAGGGTTAATCACTTCTCGAAACCGCATATAGTTGAGGAATTAGAAATAGAAAATTGTTGAAGTGGTGATGGTGAGTATTGGGTTTTGAATGTAATTATCTTTTGTATTAACAATCCCTTCCGCAGGGCACAAACCAAATGTGTCTACTTAGATCAAAGCTTCCTTTTCGATAGCTGGGCACAACTCCAGCAGTAGTAGAGGAGCACTGGCTTAAGCTGTCAGATTACGGGGCACAACTCCCTGGTATTTCTCTTCTATTCGCAATGAAAGTATTTCCCTTTCATTCACATTGGTTAGGCTTAGGCAGCCTTTTTTTTTTAACAGTAGCATTGCTGCTCATAGGTTGCAACTCCATTGTTAATGATAATTGTGGAAAGTTAGGAGGTTTGTAGGTTAGTAGTATAGTTAAGGTAATAGTAAGTCGGATATAAAGCCTACTCCAATCTTGTTGTATTATTTTGGTGCTTGTTTGGCTATAGATTACTGGAACCCATGCAGGGCACAGTTACATGCTCTCCCAATCCAGTATATTATCAGTTGATTGTGATTGTTGTTGTTATTGTTGTTATTATTGGCGTGTAAATATTTTGGTGAGAAAACTGGTTAGAAAACAAGTTTGAACAGGTTTGGCTTTGTTGTTAAAAAAGTGTAGAAATTTGATTGGTTGTTTGTTGGATATTAATCTTTTGATAGGGTAGAACTGAATAGGGTTTTTGAGTTAAGAAAAAAGAAAAAAGATTTTTGTGATAGAGTAATAAAATAATATGTGTTGTTGTTTTTGATAAGAGAAGAAAAAGAAAAAAGATAATAAATTTTTGAAGATTGTATTAAGACAAACATTGAACCCAGTAACTTTGTTTGAATATGTTATTAGAGTTGAATTTGTATTATAGAGAGTTGAAGATAAAAGAAAGTAGATTATTATGGTCATAAAGAGAAAGGTACCTAAAGACAAAAAATTATGAATAAAGGCTGCCACGGGCCTTTCCCCATGCAACCAAGAGCTAAGGAAGACTTCCAAATTGTTTAGGTCTTGACCAGAGGTCCTATTCCAATGCAACAGTGTTCTTTGAAGTCTTTATGTCCTTTGGGTTTAAAGCTTATTTGCCTTAGAAAATAAAGAGAGAAAAATGCTTCTTGAAAGAAGATTTCCTAAAAAGGAAATTTTCAAAAAATCAGTGGTGAGTGAGTGAGAGTTTTTTTTTTTTTTTTATCAGTTTTGCTTTTTTTGATTTAATTAAAATATAATGTTTTTATGTTAAATTAATTAAGTCATTAAAGTTTAATTTAATTTTATTTAATAAAAATATTAAGTTTAATTTAATTTAAAATGTAGTGTTTAATTTAATTTTAATTTAATTAAATGTAGAGTTTAAATTTAATTAAAATATAGAGCTTAATTTAAGTTAATTTAATTAAAATGTAAAGTTTAAAATTGAATTAATTAAAATATAGAATTAAATTAATTAAAATACAGAGTTTAATTAATTAAAATGTAAAGTTTAATTTAATTAAAATATAAAGTTTAACTTTAATCAAAATGTTGAGTTTAAATTTAATTTAATTAAAATATAGAATTCAAATTTAATTTAATTAAAATATAAAGTTTAATTTAAATTAATTTATTAAAATATAGAGTTTAATTTAAATTAATTAATATAAAATTTATAATAAATTACATATATAAAGTTTAATTCATTTAATTAGATATAGAAAGTTTAATAATTTAAATTAATTAAACCTAATTTTAAAATTTTTTATGTTTTAATTAATAAAATAATAAAATAAATTTAGTTTAAAAAAATTTTGTAATAAAAAATAATTTAAAAAGAGTAAATAAGTATATTTACTTTGACCTATGGTCTATAGCACAGTGGTAATGCTCCATAGGTTACCAGGAGAAGGTTTAGGGTTCAACCCCGCCTGGTTACAAAAATTCATTACCTTCATGATTGGTTGACCAGCTTCCAATTCATGTCGTACCCAATCAGCCGACAATCCATTTTCAAATTTAGTTAGGTTGCATGAAGATGGGACCTCTGGTCTTCCCGACGATCGCGGGCTGAAAACAGGTCGAAGCAAGGAAGGTTGCACGAGGAAAGGCTTCTGGTCTAACTCCGATAAAAGCCCACTCTAACCCAAACTGGCGATGGCAGACTCCATCACACAATTCCAAAAAAGAGGTTAACTCTAAGCCGTTCTATCCCAATCTGGAGCTTGTAGAGCTATCCCAATGTGGTGTTCTACGGAACTTAATCATATGACCGAAGGGCAAGGTATCAGCCATAGGTGGTGAGAATACTAGGCAAAAATCGTTAAGCCAAGTGCGTCTAATGAGGTTCTACAAGATTAAATTGGAATCCAAGCAAGGACGCCAGTTTCACAGGTGGTGAAAATGGTAGTGCCACATTACGCTAGTGGTACATCCCAAGGATCGGTGATAACAGTGACTGGAATACTGGGGTTAATCTCTATAATAATATTCCATAATGTGCCTCACCCATAATGGATGCAGTCAAGACAAGACCTAGTAGAAAGGTGGTTTAAACTAGTAGTAGGATTTCCACCCCCTATGTAAGTCCCACCTGGCGTGTGAATCATCTACTTGATGTTTAAAATTTTGTATAGCTGGGTATGTCAAAGTTGGTCTAGGGGAAACTGGGGTTACTGGAAATGGTAATTATCAGGTAGCATTAGCTTACATTTAGGATAGCAATAGCCTACTTTGTAAAGATGTTTGATGTAATAACGATGAATAATATTCAATAAATGTCTCGCATCTAATGCCCTTAGCCAACTTAAAAAAAAAAAAAAA